AATTCCGTATCTTCATCAGTGATGAATGCGAGCAGCTGAAAATGTTGGGTCCTCAGACATTTGAGAGCAGGTGCGCTGTGTGGAGGAATCTACTCGAAGTCGTGGTCGGGTCTTAAATTGATAGTATCAATGTGACATTTCAGGGAAACTGATGCTGCTGACTCTGACAACACAATCTCGGAGTTAGATACAGGTATCAGATCGTACATAGGCTGCGGCCGGCAAGGCTGGCAGAAGTGACAACTATAACTCTGCAATTAGCGCCGTGTCTCCTACAATTGCGCGCATGGGAAATTCCCATTGGGACTCCCATGCGTGCAATTGTAGGAGACTCCTCTGACAGTATAAGGCGCCTTGCGTCTCCATAGGGTCGAGGATGTCTGATTGGCTCATTCTCATTAACATTCAGTTACCCAATCGGTAGCGATCAACGATTGTTCTCGTGTAGAATGATCAGCTATACGGACGATAGCTGTACTGTCAGGAAGTTGTCATGATTGCTTTGAATATCAGTTTCCAACCATCAAGAGCTTAATAAGCTCTTAACAATAAGCTCAGCCTATTGTTAAGATTATGCTTCGTCTCCAGCTTGGTGTGATCATCTGTTGGTCGACGTTAAGGTCATCAGATGGTGTCGTATGTCCCGGAAGTGACCTGCCCTGCAGTCGACCCACACCTTCGATGCCTGTTGTTGACGACTGTGCCGCTCTGAACCCAGCCAGAGGACGGACTATTCGACAGACGCTAGTAGACGATACTATGAAGGACTTCATATGGGGACGAGCCGAGGACGTGACCCGATGCCTCAATAATCTCACTATCACCAACTTCGACGCCCTCTTCACCCTCCACAACCTCAAGTACGGCCTGGCTGAGACCTACGCCTTCACGGACATCGCTAACGGCTTGGACGACTCTGTGGAGGTCAACACCTGCAACTTCAAGCTACATTCTCTTGACGTTGACATCGAAAGTTTCATTGATGACAGGATAAGTGAGTATGCCGCCGCGCTGAACCCAATGACTTTGGAGGAAAGGCAGAGGTTCTTCAATGAGAGCATCCCTGCGGCCCCTTTTCACTTCGCTCTGCAGCGTCAGTTGAGCCGCTTGAACGACGCTCATACTCGTTATGATACGCCATACATGGACTTCTACTTTGTGCTTCCAATTCGCTTCGATTCGCGTATGCGTGACGGAGCCCAGGTCGTAACTCTCGGCTTCCCGAATCTCAACGAGATGTATTACCCTGCCGTCTATGG